GCAAGGTAAAATGTAGAGGCTTCGCCACAGTGCTAGTTGGTGCCTCTCAGCAAGTTGATGCACGCCTGTTGCAAGCAGTATTTTAGCCTTGTAACTACGAATAGCGCATCCGTTCGGCGCGAGCGCCCGAGTCAATGATGGTTTCTTCTTTTCTTCTAAGGCGCAGACGTCAGGCCCCCGAGAGTGATCGTGCTCAGGCATCAAACCGAAGTGATAACAAACATTCAGTAAAGCTCTTTCCCCGAGACAATTTTCAGTGAATGTCGGACTCAAGTTTCCGAGAAATGGGACGTGAAAGGGTGTATAGTTCCATCTTCTCTTCAGCGTTCAGACTTCGCGACGGCAGCGCCTCGGTCGCGCGTTCGCAGCGATCAATACGCATGTTTTCGACTGCATCGATCGAGTCGACGCGCGCCGTAGTTGCATTTAGCCTTTCTTATGGCACCAGAGACACTACTGAGTTGCCTCTCTCAAGCAAATTTGCTCCCTGGCTTTGCCTGCGATGTGTTGAGAACTTTTCGTTCAATAGTAATAGTACAATCAACTATTATTTTAGCTTTGCTGCGACGCACACCACCGTTGGCGCGGCTACTTGTTGCATCATGCCAAACCGATAGCAATCCTCCTGACTTTCCCTCGAAGTCCAAAAAACAGAGGCTATTCAAGGTTCGTAGTCCATAGATCGTTCATTTTTTAACCATTCTTGGTCCCAAATGTTTTTGATCTCAAAAGGTAAAACAAGTGATGTTCTTTTTCAGAAATTGATCTCAGGATGGTGACGACATTAATATTAGCGGTTCTCGCAGTTGATTAAATAAACTCACTCTTGTCGGTTTTTGGATATTATTGAGATTGTTTCTAATTCTGTTATATCTCCAACTTTTCACCCAAAAACTTTAAATTGCAATCAATATCCTGGAGAGGGGAGGGCGTGGTTGCGTGCCTCGTTTGGACATGGCGCTAGCTGCGTTTCTGTTGGAGTATTACTGTTTTGGCACTAGCGTAAAGATCTCTTTAACCGGCACAAAGCAGGATGACGGTTGTCTTAAAAAGAAATTCTACGAAAAGTGCATCTTGCCCCATGTATAAATGAAGTACGCGGCCACGCCCACCCTACCTCCTTGATATGGAGGGTACCTTAAATTGTCAGTTAGCTAGCGGTTAGTTTAAAGACACATCGAACGGTTGGGAGAGGCTCACAGCCACTACACTTTTCTCATCTGTGTCACTCCGAACGTGATAAAGGGGCCAGTAAGCAAGCCACAATGGTTGTGAGGTTTCCCCTCATTCGACTGTAGTAACAATGCGAAGGAGCTTCAGAATTTTATAGTCTGCTTTTCCAGATAGCTCGGCCGTCGAAAAGATCTAGAACCTATGAGAATGACAAAATAGACAAACTACGCGCTATGGCCGAATTTGGACTACGGTACCTATATCAAAGTTCTTGATTTTACCTGTTTTGGATTTTTCTTTCCTAAGTGCTCGTCTGATATCATTCGCAGAAGAACTGCAGGCGCTGTTCAACTAAGGAGAGGGGCATTCGGAGGACTTCTTGTGCAGAAAGTGGGAGTAACGTCATCCCAATAGAGCTACGGTCCTTTAAATTGGCTCACTAACTACTGTGCTTCCTCCGCTCCAGCTTAACTAACTTACTCACTTTCGTTGCTGGAGTTTCCGTTTCAACGCAAGGAGTCCTTTGAACGCCTCTCCCAAGACCATTGGCGCCTAAAAGTGAGCTGTTGGTTTGTCTCGGACGTTATTTTTGTAGGGAAGAAGACCTTCGTGACTTACCCACAGAACCAGTACCGGTGAAGCCTACTTCGTATGCTACTCATCAAAGTCGGCACCTGTATGCTTTGACGGACGTTTATCACAAGGCTATCCAGGTGAAGTGTCCCGTGAATGCTTCCTAGTGATAATATTAGTATTTGAGGGTTTCAAAAATTTCTGATATTTAAAGTTCTTTATTTTCAAGTTCACATGGTACGATCACACATAGTTTGGTGTGCGTGACTATCAGCCCCCAGCTGTCGAAGCGTAGCGGTTTCCCCGTCCGAACATGCGCAGGAATGGAGATCCAGGACCTGTGGGACACGCTAATTCCTCCATGCTCCGCCTAAAATGCAACTTGCGGCGCAGAATCCCGATCCCGTTTATACTAACAGCTGTCTGGCGCGTGTCGCGCGCAGCGCTCTTGGCACTTTGCCAAGTCGTGTAATTGCGCTTTGGAATACAATTAAAACGCAAACTCCTGATGCGGATAACATTTGAGGTGTGCACTCATGCTGCAAAATCCCGAGTCGGAGATGATGAAGATGACATAGGCTAGAACTAAAGAACAACGAATGTAGATGTAAATAAAATAAAAGTAAAGAAATTTCAAGAAATGTAAATTAATAGAAATCCCGCGTGAATTTTTGCAGTTCGGCGCGATTACCAGTTCCCAAAACCATAAAAACACTTTCACACTAGACGAGCGAACGCTTTAGGCCGCTTTTTATTTTTCAATGTTCTTGTGGAAATGTGCGGAGCTCACGAGGGAGATTGCGGAAGCAGCACAGTTTCTCTTGAGTTCTGACCCTCGATTCGGATTCTGCAGCATGAGCGACGCCTCGAATGTTATGCGCATCAGGAGTTTGCGTTTTGCCTGTATTTAAAAGCGCAATTGCACGACTTGGCATATTCGTGCAATCGCGCTTTTGAATACAAGTAAAACGCAACACCTGACTGCGCATAAGATAGCATAAAGCATTTCAATGCTGCAGAACCCAGAACTGCACGTGGGCTATTATATGAACAGGATCGGAGTACTGCCGCCCCGCAAGTTCATTTTAAGACGGAGAATGAGAGGACTAACGTGTCCCACGGTCCTGGATCTCTATCCCCGCGCAGTTTCGCGCGCGGAAACCGCTACGCTCCGACAGCGGGGGGCTGAGTCACACACACCCAAATCAATGATGTGATCGACAACCAATGTTCGTTAATAGCTGTCGATTTAAAAGCGCAATCGCAATTTGTCAGAGTAAGGTTCATAATATTCGCCGATATATGGAGAAATTTGATGAAAGTTTTGGATTCGAAGGGAAGGAACTTTTACGACACCGATATGAAGGGATCTGCGATTGAGAGATACGGTCGCACACGAGAAATTAAGAATTGAAAATCGTTGGACTTCCACTCGCATGTGTCTAGCCAATTGTAAGAATACCACAATCTACTAGAGCAATCATCGATTACGGAGAGATGAAGCCTTACCATTTCCAGTTAAGACCAATTAGGCTGCTGAATTCACGCATATCATTATTCGGTTTCCAATGTACAAATTTCTAAAGTTAATCTCTTCCTGAAACTAGTGCGCGATGCAGCTGCCTGGAAAACGGTCGCGTGTAAAGAATTTATTTGCGAGGATTAGCGCATTCGCAAGGATAGAAAAGTGAGCTGGAGTGCGTTAATCGTTAGTGCTTGAGCGATTCGGGTAAAACGTGACAAGAGAAATCAGTAAATTCGCCAAGCCTGATAAGGCGTCGCGTGCGACGTCGAAGCTAGGTGAATGCGACGTTACCCAGCCTTAGATAAGCGACAACAGGTCAAATGTTGAAATCCATATCAATAAATGTCTATAGAGTGTTCGGACGCGCGCAATACGGATGAGACTTCGGCGCGGCTGCCAGGACGCAGCAAGCGATACACAAATTAAGCGAGACGAGCCGCGCGCACGCGAGTGTGCGCGGAAGCGACACTTATTTCGAACCAGTTCGCCCTTGTAGTGTCTACCCGAGCGAGACGAAATTCGAAGAGTCGACGTAGCCTCATGGCACGGCATTAGGCCAGAACATAGTCGATTTCATGCATAGTCGACTAGGATGACTGTGATCTGTACTTGGAAACGCCCCTTTTGGCCTCCACATATAGCCCGTACATCTTTTTCAACGACGGTCCCGCCTTCATCCGATTCGTAGAGGCCCTTGCTTGTTCATGTAATGCGACCCTCAGTCTTCAAGCCTGTCCTGCTTCGCGGCTCTACAGCAACTAACGAAGGCGCTGCGACCCTCATGAATGGCAGCTTTGACGCCCACAAAACTCAAAACCTTTTTCTGTCACGAGTCCCCTTTTACACCATGTTTTTTCGTTTTTTTTTCGCCGTTAGATTGTGCTAGCATTGGGAAAGGTGGAACGGTTAGCGAGCCGAGGGCGGCAGGATATCGTTTTGCTGGCATGAAACGAGGAGGTCAGGAGAACTCGTACAATAACGTTGCCAAGGGAGGGGGTCCTTAGTCCATGACTTTTTCGGCTTTTTTCTGGAGGATCACTTCGCGATTGCGAGTCTGTAACTGAAAGTCCCTATCGACGATATACAATTGCGGGATTTGCCTTTATTAGCTATGTTGCATCCAAGTTATCTAATCAACAAATAATGTATTGAGAAAGCCAAAAATTCTTGGGCACTCTAGATTTATGCTGAATCTATCTCCTATTCCAAATTACCCTACTAAAAATTTTCTCGGAGTTTAGTCGAACATAGCAACAAATTCAGGTTCATGGAAGTCCTGCAGCACTTGATGCACACCGTCGCCCGTTGATTGCTATGCGAAAGGAATTAACAGATGCTGAACGTATGCGTATGCGCATGAGGGTGCGTTATTGTGTGTCGTAGTTTTCCACTTCAGCATTTCTTTTCTTCGTTAGCCACTGAATCTCGGCGGCGGGGGGGGGGGTTGCGTACTTCTTTTGAACGTGGCGGCTGCTGTGCTTTTGGGTGGATTTTGCCGTTTTGCAGCAGACGTTTCCCGGCCACGATAACCGGGATATCGATAGTCTTCAGCCTTCAATACAACTTTAGTTTTTCTTCCCGTTATTTTGAACGTTTCGCCCTCACTGGGGCCCAAATCTGTTAAACAAGAGGAAGAAGTACTTCAGTCCCTTGCCCGTTCCATACCGATTTTCTAACCGGGAGTAGGTTGGTATCGATTGAACTAGGGCGCAGTTTGCCGACGGGGGGGGAGGGGGAGGAAACGTCTTGCACTTTTGCTACTTCCCATCGCGTGTTGACCTTTACAGAAAGTCTCTTCTCGAGTTGACAGGTCCCACCAATACGAGGAGCACGCCGCTGGTTGTGAAACGCTGCCCGATTGCCGTAGAATGCTTCTTCAAGTGATGTGGACTGCAGTTAATTTTTTTTGTTCAGGTGGAAACAACTACGTCTACTAGTAAAGGTGCTGATCGAGTAGTAGCTATCGCATTCACTCTCAACGTGTGTGACGCTGCTTTCAAGGTCAGTTCATTGTGAAAAACTTCTTAAAAATAATGTGAAGTCAGAAATTTATGACCTGATTGCGATGTTTTGTTTGATATTTCTTTATGGACAATAGCGCTCTAACGGCACGGAGGTGGTGTAGCGCCGAGTAGCACGTTCACCACGGGCGCGGTTCGGGGGTCAAATCACGAATCGGCTCCCGCTCATGCCAACGAAGCTGTTTAATCTTAGGGAACAGTAAATCGGCACCAGGCTCGTCTGGGAGGTGAAGAACACTGATTAGTACATCGGCTGGCTCCGCAACTCATCCAAATCACATTCAATGAGCACTCCGTTCATAGATGGGGAAGAAAAATGCCTACCACATCTTAAAAAGCGATTTATACCTCATCATTCATCAGTGGAGTATTCTCAGGCCGCTGGTTCATGCTAACAACAGTGGGGATGGAGCTTGTAGCATCTCCCACTTTGCGATGAAATATTAAAGATAGCTCTGCTCTTCATTTGTAGAAACAGCTTATCGCCTGCAAAACCACACTTGACGCACAGTCCGCGCTAGTCTTATTTGCGGACATAAGGAACCACTGGTCCTTCCCTATGCCCCTTTTCTTTACCGTCTTAGAAGGTGGAGCGCCGATGAGGAAAACTGAGTGGTTCACTGTTCCCGCCCATGCGACCAACGCGCATTGTGGCTTTGGGGTCGCAGTTTATCGGATTGAATTTGATCCCGTTCAGTTTGTTCTATATTCTTACCCTGTGCTTTCAGTATACGGCTGCATATCTTACGGGCTCTAAGTCGTTATTTGCTGAAGCGATTCATAGCACAATGGACACTTGTAATCAAATGATTTTGCTGATGGGAATACGGTACTCGGCGAGGAATCCTGACAATCTCTTCCCATATGGATACGGTAAGGACGTTGAGTTTCTGGATTTAAGCTACCGAATGGGGTGCCACGCAAAGAAGATCTGCGCTATCCCCAGAATACAAGGCTGTTTGCTTTCTTAAAATGTGGGCAGGCATAACCCTTTTTGCCCGCTGCCGTTTGATCCCTACTATATTTTCTTTACCGTACCTCTAAAACGGTTGGACAAGCTAGTGTTGGCGGGTCCGAAGACTGAATTGTTAGGGATAGGGAATACCTAACATCCGAAAATTCAGTTTCCGATTCCATGCTTGGTTGTCGTCTAGGAGTGACGTTTTCCCTAGCGTCATCCGCCACTGAAGTTAATATCATCAAGGAGGAGTGACCCAGCTCAAAACACCCCTGAAACTGGTAAAGATCTGGCTTTTTCATCAGGTTTTAGTCTCCTGGTAGAGATCTGACTGGAGACTTTCCACCTATTTTTGGTGATCGTATGCTACCTCAATTTGATGTTAGGTGAGACTGAAGTTTCGCCCCATTACTCATGTGTTGTAAAAGCGCACCTATGCGTGCATCTAATAAATAAATAAATAAATAAATAAAAGCAAAAAACTGTTATTACGATTACCCCAATTTTATAGTTCAGAAAAATAGCTTGTTTTCTGCATCTTGACAACAACTTCAGTTCAGGTAATATGCGCTATGTGACGTCGCTGATTTCTGGTTGTGGTATTATGGCATTTGGATGCGGTCTCTCAATTTACCACGGAGTTTCCGGATTATTACATCCTGCAGAATTGGAACCACTGAACTACGTGAGTTTAATGTATCAGAGGCCTTGATAAATTCTTCCTCTATTTTTGCATACATCCTCACGTCACATCAGGGTCCGCTGCTCCTGCGGAGGAGGGAAAATTCACACCTAGGCTTCCATGCGGCGGGGTTTTTCGAGGTCACCGCGACGGAACGGCGGAGTCAAGGGCGATGGCCTTCGTACTGCCCCATCGCTGCCCAAGCCAGCAGGCCGTTTTTATTTGAAAGGGGAAAAGAGAGAAGAAAAAAAGCGAATTAAACAGATAGTGGATGCGCTACAGGTAAGGTAGTGAGAGACTGCCTAAAAGGTGACCTATCAGGGCGTATTCGTTTGTCAGTCAACGGCGAAACTGGCTAAACTTGTTCGCTTCTCATATATTGAAAACGACGCCGAGCAGCCTCTACGCAACTGTCCATATACCCGTTGTGACCGAACAAGGCCAACTGTTTGCAATTTGCCAAACTTCACCTTAAACGTTTGCGTAAGAGCTGTTTGCGTCGTTTTCGCTATGGAAAGTACTAATTTGTCAGTTTCGCCGTTCTGAAGTACCCTAAAATCCCATAGATAAGAGCGGTTTAATTTACCGGTGAAAAATGAATTGGAATGAAATTGAAATTGAATGCAGTCACCCTCTCTAACTTGATGGATGGATAAATAAAAATCGGAGAAGAAGTTTAGAAGAAGCTCCGCCTCAACTCACCGCGCGCCACCTAATAAACAATTCATATAGAAAAAAACAGCGATTTTAACGAAATTTCTGCCGGAATCTCTCTAGAAATGCCGGAATTTGATCTCTGGATAGAACTTGAAGAGCCCATTCGATCAGTATTATTGCGATAATCATGAGCACACAAACGCACCAAAAAAAAACGTATGAGCGGGCGAAAGTCATTTCATTTTCTCAGGCACAAACCGGCCCTTCATGCTATGGACCGCTACTGGTTAATTATGGGATTTAGGGTAATACGCCGCGATAGTCGACTTTTATGTATTCTCTCACCACTACCACTAACTCACCTGTAAGCATCCACTATCTGTTCAATCATCTTTCTCTCTCTATTTTCCTCTTTTTCCTTCCACATAAAAGCGGCTGCTGATTGGAGCACAGTGGCGGAGGCGCAGGCCATCGCCTTTCGCTCGCCCTGCCGCCGCGGTGATCAAAAAATCGCGCCGCAACGCGCATGGGTGAGTTTTTCCAGAGAACCCTACTCTTGTGAGGCATCGTCTTTTTCCCAATCCAGGGCATATTAGGCGAAAGCCCAGGCTCCAGTGAGGTGATTCTTGATAATATCACCTCACCATCCCTTCTGCACGTGTCCTGGATTTCTGATTCAGTTCAGTAACTTGCAGCCACAAGAGTAGAGCCTCAGCATCCTCATTCTAGCGGAGGAGACCTGCATCCATCTTGCGCAGCGGGCCGCACTCTATCGTAAAGCTCTGTGTGTCCCATCGGCGGCAAATCTTTCATAATTTTGCAACACTTCCAATCACAGAGGGTATCCTTGAACTCCCGTCATCCCACCAATGCGTTACAATTCAGTCTTTCAGCTACTAATCCACGTTTCCGCTAGATCGCAGTTTTCAGAGGTTCAACCCTCACGAGTATCCCGTAGACATTTCGGGTCCCATGCAGATTGCCCCCATTGATGCAGCTTTTCGAGCCCAAATTTGCTTCGTGTTCCCCTTTTTTACTGAAATTTAGATTCGTGGCTATCTACTCCACTAAAGAGTTTACTCTAAAGCGCCCAGCAATACCTGCCCTTCTATATATGTAACATTGTGA